TACCAACATAATACTCCACCGGACGGTCCCTGAACTCGTCGGCAAAGATTTCGAGGATGGGTCTCCCTCGCCAGCGCTCCTTGCACCATGTGTTGTAGGTAAAGTGATATGGTGCCACTCGGCGAAGTCCTTCGTGAAGGTAGTACGGCCGCGGCCAGGGATCACAGGGGGTGATGGCAACGGCGGGCGGACCGTCGAGTGTGCTTTCAGCGGCCTTCTCTCTCTCCGATTTGTCCAAGTGACTTTCAGATAGTATGCCTTCGGGCTTCTGCTCAACCACAGTCAAAGCCATGGGCAGACGGCCGCGGCGCGCCAGATAGGCGGCCACACGAGGCGATGGAATGGCTGCTCCGGTCGGCGTGCGTGCCCTGCAGTGATTGACTGCGCCCCCGAAGTGTCTAATAAGTCCTGTGGCGAGGATCTGGACACAGTGATTGCAAGTTCTGGTGGTTAAAAACCACAGATTTTCTTGGCCCCGTGACTTGATTGCCTGGATGTGACGGCTCCACCATTAACAAATGAGTGCACACTCATATGTATTTATTTTTGTACGTGTGCGACTAATTACACCAATTCCCTTGCTTGTGCGTATTGGAATGTAGAAAGACATCGCGCTTTGTAGATAGAGGAGCATTCTATGTTATTCTGTCGCGCTGGCTGTTGATCCACTGCGCTTCCCTTCTCCGCCTCCCTTGTCCCCATCCTCACTTCTTTACCTACATGAGCAACATCAAATCATGGCAGAGCTCCAGTATTTACGCTCCGCATTCGCAGCAGACTCTGGTCTTTGCGACCGCGTGCTAGCTGCAGCGCGTAAGACTTTCTTCATCGGAATTGGCCAGCACCGTATACTGACCACTATGCCGCATAGAACAAAGTCGCGATCAACTACAGCTTTTTGTCGACGTCGCCCGATTTCTCACGCGTACGCATACGGATCAGCAGCATCAGACCAACGGCGTCTCATCTGAACCCTCGTCCAAGAAACGCAAGCTCGACGCTTCGACCGGAGACGACACAACTGACCTCAACTCTGCCACGTCCATCCTCGACCTTCCCGATGTTTCATTCACAGTCCCGGTCAGGAAGAAACTCAGTGTGCAACTGCTGACCTCTCCAGCCGGCACTGCAGCTGGCGGTGGGCTCAAGATTACTGGGAAAGATGTGTCGTACACAATACCCTGGGCCGCGATAGCACAAGTCTTCTGCTTGCCCGTACCAGAGAAGACCACACGCCAGCAGAACTTTGTCGTTGTGCTGGATCCGTCCACTCCTTGCCAGGGCGAGGCTCAATTTGTCTTCACACTGCCCGAAAATCCTTACTCTGGACAATGCGCTCACGCGGCGGATCAGGATACCTGGGTCACCCTCACAGGCCGCATGATGAACACCTACCTCATGGAGCTGGGCAAAGGCGTGACACTGCCGGCGGAGGATGAGTTCCACAGTGCTATTCCGCAAGCACATAGAAAGGGCGAAGTTGGATATCATGTCAAGGCACATGTAGGCAGCAAAGACGGTAGGTCGCTCCTTCGTGCAGCTATTGCCATGCTGACAATATAGGCTATCTCTTCTTCCTCTCCTCAGGGATAGTTTTCGGTTTCCGGAAACCAATTCAAGTGTTTCCCTTCCATGCCATTGAGAGCATCAGCTACACTTCCGTCCTCCAGCGCACGTTCAACCTCGTTATCACGATCCAGCCGTCTGCCGAAGACCCAAGCCAAGAGACGAAAGAGATAGAATTCGCAATGCTCGACCAACAAGACTTTGCAGGTATCGACGAATACATCAAGCGCCACGGACTGAACGATGCCAGCATGGCGAAGGAGCGCATGGCCAAGCGTATCGGCGTCAATGATCCGAAGAGGAAGAAGGGCGAGGATGGAGATCAAGCCAACGGGGTCGGGGAGGACGCACATGCAGATGAGGAGGAGGAGTCGGAGCTACAAAAGGCGGAGCGAGAATTGCAAGACGCCGAGGACGAGGAGGAGGAGGAGGACTACGATCCCGGCTCCGAGGGCGAGAGCGAAGGAGAGGGATCTGACAGTGAGGAGGAAGACGGTGGCGGCGGGGAAGCCGAGGATGTGGAAGAAGAGGTCGATGAGGTAGAAGAAGAGGAGTGAATGAATTAGGGAATCTGACTTGTCTGTACATCAAGTGTGCTGGAAACTGGTTAAGCTGCTGATAGTAAGCAGCAGCTGAATTTTAATACTTGACACCCTCAGTATGAAAGTCATGTGGATAACATAATTGAAAAATCAGCAGCGCTTCGCACTAGTAATGTGATTGTCGGTATTGATACGGGATATACTCTGATTCAAACCTCGCTTTCCCAACGCCGAACCCAATCCTGCCTTGCGAAGAGCATCGACTAAAAGTTCTCCAGCAGCTGGTACTTTTTATGGCTCGCATCCAGCGCCTCTTCGACCCTCTGCATGACAGCAAGCGTCTTCTCCTCCTCCCACCTGCGGCACACAACCTGCACTCCCACCGGCAAGCCTTTCATTTTCACGGCATCGTAATGCATATATGCCCCTCTCGCAGCCCCATTGAGCTTGCTAATCCTGAAGTCGCTGGGGAGCGCATCATCTACCGGGTCGACGTGAGTGACAGGCAAGACACCGCATGCGTAGTCGAGCAAATTGAACAAGAACGTGTATCCGCACGAGCTGACGGCCTCCTTCATTCCGTTATGCGGCACAGCTGGTGTGGCGTTAGGCACCGTGAGGAAAGCATCCATGTGCCCGTCGTCGCCGGCAGATTCCTTCTCGAGCGCAAAATGTCTCGTCTCTTCAGAGAGCGTAGCGAAGCTGGTAGTGCTGCTTGCCGGCGGCGAATCCGAGTCGCTGGATCGTGCGCTGCCGGATCCCGAGAAGACGATCGACGTCCACCAGTCGAACCAGCGGGCCTTGAACGCCTCACGCCGTGCGACAAGTTTCCAGTTCTCGAAGGCGCTCTTGGGGCTGAAGCTCTCGAGTAGGCCAGCCCAGATAGGGTCGCGGCGGATGTAGCGGACGTAGAGGCAGTATAGATAGCGGACAGGTGATGGAAGAGCCATGAAGAAGGACATTTGACCTGCTCCAGCATCGGTCTTCTCGCCAGATCGGAAGAATGATCGGAACATCTGAGTGCCGTCTGCATTGAGGAGTTGTGAAGCGATGACCAGTGCTTCGTAGGGTGAGGCTTCAGCGGGAGGCTGGAGCTCGACGATCTCGTGGCCCTGGGCTTGTAAAGCTGACACTGTGGTCTGAAGCGCTCGAGCACAAGCAGGACTGGGATCGATCACGCCATCTGTTCGAAGGACACCAATGCGGAGCTTGCGTGAAGCAACATTGCTGTAGACATCGTCTCGCCACGGGATGGGATGAACTGTATGGTCGTACTTCCAAGGCTTGCATTGGATTACGGCGCGGGTGAAGTACAGCAGGTCGTAAAAGGTACGTGCCATTGGGCTAAATACCGAGGGTATACCTTCCTGGCCCGGCATGGCCGTGTCAACACCCGCCTTAGGCCACCGGCCTGTGGAGCAGCGGATCGAGTAGCAGCCAGAGAAATGCGCAGGGGCACGAACAGATCCAGCAACATCGGACCCAATGCCGATCCGCGAGCCTCCGTACGCGAGGATTGCGCCTTCACCTCCCGTGCTACCTCCAGGACTGTATTTGTCGTTGTGGGGATTCTTGCAGCGGCCCCATAGGTCGTTGTACGATTCGAAGGAAAGCAGAGTGATGGGTAAGGCGGTCTTAACAAATGGGACTGCTCCAGCATCCTTCAAAAGCCGCACCAGACCACCATCCCTGGCATATGGTTTGCAGCTCTTCGAGGAGAGCCCGACTGTCGTGTCGTAGCCGCCCACGATGATGGAGTCTTTCAGCGACACAGGAATACCAGCTAGCGGGCCTTGCATGTTAATCGATCCGTCTTTCGTCCACCGCTCCGCATCTGAGATCATGACCTCGGTGAGACAGTTCGTTTTCTCGTGCGCCCTAACAGCAGCCTTGCCGTACGAACGGAGAATGTCGATAGGCGAAGTGATATTAGAATGAACATCCTGCACAAGCTTGTCGATAGGCGCGTGGAGGACCTCAAGCTCCTGTGTCGTGAATGGCGAGTGGTATTGCGGGTTCAGGGCTGAAATACGCTCTCTCCTCTCATCTTGTTTCCTCTTGCTGTATGCGGTCAGGCCCTGTTGATATCATTGTCAAATAGCTCGCTAATTACCAATCGCGCCGATGGTGGAAGTAAGATGCGGGCCACATATTGGCCAGGAAACGCTTCTGACAACAGTGGCAGTGGTCTATGTCGGAGGCGAAGGAAGCTGAGCAACTCAGAGAGGAGCACGAGTGTAGCTAGGAGTGCGGAGTCGAGCTTGGTGATAAGGAGCTGCTCCAGTTTACTGGCCGGCTGGATGCGGCTCTAGCTCTGGGGAATCCTATGCGGGGCTCATGGTACCGATGGTTGTCCGAGGGTCCTTCGGCTGTGGGGTGTCGATATGTCTTGCTTTGACAGGGCTACCATTTTTCTGTTTCAGCCAAGTATTCCGTGCGGACATGCTAAGTTCATCGGCGTCTGCAACATTGGCTCCGTTCGAACACGGCGTATTCGGAGTGATAGCTCGTCGTGGAAGCCACTCGGAGAATCTCCTAGAGCACAATGACATTGTTCGGAAGGGCTTTTAGCTGGTCTTCCTCTTTGGCGTCGGATCCTCCAATGATTGTGCTTTCCCTGGCCAGCAGGATAATATCTCAGCAATAATTAGCGAAGCCATCGTGAAGAATGGTTTGGAATGCTGCCGTGAATGAGTTGAAGTGACGCTGACAATTCGTGTCGTGACTCTCATGAACTCTGTACAGCAGTCTGCAGGAATCACGAAGGGAGGCGGCAAAGGGTGGATGTTAGCAAACAATAGTCTCAGTTGCTGAAAGCTGCCAGAAATAATCAATATCAGCAAAAATAATGTTGCTTGGATGTGCATGGAGAGCGACAAACCAAAAAGTCGATGCTCGAAACTGGGATCGAACCAATGACCTCTCCATATCTTTTCGACGCTTGAAAGCGTGTATTACGAGTGGAGCGCTCTGCCACTGAGCTATACGAGCTTGATCACTAATCTCTGGTAATACAAAATATATACCCTGAAATCTGCATCGAAGCGCATTACGGCCTGCAGAATGCCCGCAGAATGCGAATGAGGTCGACCAACGACAACCAAACAATAGATAGCATTGTCTGAAAAACAAGGACACGAAGTATGCACGAGTTGAACAATAGTTGACTGACTTCTTGTGGGAAGCGTTGTTTAGAATTGTGGAAGCATTGCAGCACGGAGCATAATCATCTCCAGGCTGGAACGCTCTCGAGGCTAGTGAAATGACAGTTGCACATTGTACATTTCACAAATACATCGGCACATGGTCAATTGTGGTGGCGATAGTAAATTAGATAGTGGATGCTTCTTTGCCTCCCTTTTTTCCTAAGTCGTTTGTCGCTGGGTGATAACAAAATTGCCATGCACTATGTTACATTCCAGAATCATGATAATCAAGTCTTGCCAGCGCGAGATACGGGCTGCTCCAGCTGCGATCTAATAACAATTGACTCGCTGCTATGAGTGATGTATCGAGTGTAAATTCGTGGCCAGGGCGCGGCTCTTCTGCCGTGCCACGCATTCGTAGATGATTGCACTTATGCTGGGGTTCTGAAAGAGTATACGGTTCGTGGGTGGAGCCACCGAGTGACTTGGCGGAAGCTCATGATGAGGACAGCGGATCATCTCTCATCAGTCTTGCCAATCCCATACTTTTTTGAGAAATGCCGCCATGTTGACCCTCTTTGCCTTCATTTCCAGCATCCAAGGGTGTTCGAGCATTCGCCATGGCGTGGCTCGTCTCAGTGTTTCCTTCTCAAGACTGTGCTTCATTAGATGACTACCAAGTTATCTTTGGACTTTACTACTCACCAGCACTCAATAAAATATTTGAAGTTCTCGCTCCATTTTACGTCGCCATCTGGACCACCAATCTCATCTTTGAGCTTAGGTACTGGTTGACTGACGATGAAGGTCAAGAGGTCGATCAAACCTGCGCGTGGCTGGACCTCATTGCCATCCGCAGGGAAAGGGAAGCGATGTTGAGCAACCTCGAGCAGTGTAATACCCAAGCTCCAAACATCGCTGGTAATGGTGTAAGATTGTCCCTGGATACGCTCAGGTGCCATGTAGTAGCTTGTGCCGATAAAAGTGCTGGCATCTCCTTTAGTCCCAAACTCACCCGACACACCAAAATCGCACAGCTTAACTTCTCCTTTCCGGGTGAGAAGGATATTGCTGGGCTTGATGTCTCGGTGAATGATGCGATGTTCATGCAGATATGTCAAGCCGTTAAGGACACCTTCGGCTACTTTTCCGAGGACTTTCTCCCCTGTACGGCCGCCGAGCTTCTTTACTTCTCGGTAAATTGAGTCAAGAGATCCGCCTTCACAGAATTCCATGCTAATGCCGATGGTGCCGTGGGTATCGTCCATGAATGCGCCATAATAGCGACAAATGTGTTCCGATGCGCAGGTTTTATTAAAGTTTATTTCGCGAACAATTTGCCTCTTAACGTCAGGGTTGGGATCCGTCGTGATTGTCTACGAGACGTTAGCACATCCAACGTGCCGAAGAAGGAAAACACAAACGCAATAGGTCATACCTTGAGAGCGAATTCTGTCTTCCCGTCTCTGAGCTTGCAGCGAGTGACAGCTCCGCCAGCACCTTCACCGAGACTGCTTATTTCCATGATCATATTGCTCTTGCTAGCCGCTTTCCAACATGCATCATCAAGGTCCTCAACGTCCAGCGGTCGGCCTTTGTCACGGCTAAGCTGTTCAAGATCCGGCAATGCTGTGCTGCCCTGAACACTGCCTTCTCTCTCCATAGCAGTCCCGCTGGCCGAAGAAGTTGAGTGGGCGGATTGCGGGTCCTGCTTGGTATTCAGAGTCAAGCCGGCCAATGAGTACAAGGAAGCCGGGGTGCTGGAGGACTCGTTTATGCGGTTGGCACCGACGCTATCATCCCTGCTTCTTGTGCTCTCGTCACTGCTGGCGTCCTGCCTATGCTTGGCCGACATTTGTCCAATGTTGAGCGGTGGTAGCGGTAATCTGCCCCGGCCTGCAGCCTTGCTATCTTCTCTTGGAGTTGCATTGCTGCCCATTGGTGTAGCAAGATTGAGTTTTGGCGGCTGAGGTCGAGGGATCTCGAGAGGAGGAACGGCTTGAGAGTTGACAACGGGTTTCTGATGTGGGGAAACAGGAATGGATAACCCCAACTTTGGGATGCGAGCGCCGCTGGGATTCCTGCTGCCAGGGATTGGCGGGCGAAGAAGCGGCGCAGGTGAGGCCATACCGCCTAGAGGGGGTGGGGTAGATCGGGTTTGACCGTGGTCAGCCACGGCGGGCGACAATGTGAGAGATCAGTTAAGGAAAGCGGGATTTGGTGGCGGTATGTTTATTCGCTGAGAGGAAACAGCCCTGATGAAGAGTCTCAGAAGCTCATGAGACCGTATAAGGGCGTAGCCAGGATATCAGAGTGGGCGCAGAGCTGCAACGGCTGGGGGCTGAGTTGCAGCCGCACGGGCAGTTTGGCCCCAGGCACGGCAGATACAGCGAAGAGTGTGATGTCCCCGGTACTCGTGCAGTCTGGGTGATGAGGGCGTGTCCAAAGTATTGTGGGTAAGAGCTGTAACCTGGGAATTGAAGAGGGGAGGATTGTGGAGTGAAAAGGCGGGCGGTTGTTGAGGCACGACAGACCAAGCGCTGAAGACCGTGCGGTGGGATGGCGGAGGCGGAGGACGGACAGAGGCTGTTGTTGCGGGGACAGAGCCAGGTGGAAATCTTGTTTGACGCTGCTGGCTCGGCCAAGCAATGGCTTAAGCAGCGAGGTCCTGGGCGTGAGTAGGGAGGATGAAGACGAAGGTTGGCTCTTGGGCGGTGGTTTGTGGTTTGTGAGTGGGCGCGTGGTGGGTGTGACCAGACGAGGACGACCAAGCCCGGGACTTGGCGAGAAATGGCTCGATCTGCGGCGCCAATAGCGAAGGTAGCCTTTTCTTTGTTTCACCGATTGCCTTATCCAAAGAAACGAGACAGAAACACTATGAGGAATCGTCGGTAGGCAGAAATTTGAAGGCAATCGTCAAAAATCAGAAGACAAGCGGAAAGCAGGCAGAAGACCGGTCGGTCAGATGCAGGATGAATGGGATGGGATGGGTCGGCCTGGGTGCGTCGCACAGGCAGGACAAACACGCGAGCAGGAAACGAGACACCACCAGGCAGAAGATACAGTATAGTTTTGGCCCAGCTTCAGCTGCTCCATCTTTCAATCTTACGAGACTCGTCGGGCATGGTCTTCCTCATCTCGTCGACAAGCCGCAGGCAGGAATTATTCAGGCACCGCCTAGCCGCCGTGTGCTGGACGAATCATTTGTGCCACCGGTCGCACAAAGGCTGTCCATCTCTACAGGATCGTCGTCATCCTCCGCTGACGGACGCTGCCGAGCACGTGTCGAGCTGCACACTGAACACACTGACCTCCTTCTGAGTTCAGCTTTCCCGTCCGAAGCACAAATTCAATCGAGTGGCGCTCGTGAACCATCCGTCCAGCCCAACGGAGCAGGTGCGATGCGAGTAACCGGGGTGTGTGCTCGATATTCCTCGCCGAGGCGTTCGCTGTACGACAGCTGTTGGATAGAAAGGGTACGACCTGCGTCTCCCTGCAGTCAGCGTCATCATAGCACTGCCTAGCTCTACACATGCCCAAGTCCGCAGCAGCTACAATCCTCCATTACGACAAATGCAAATACTCTGCTGCTGCCAAAAGTCAGATGCCACGCGGTGTTCTTAGTGCCTGTTCTATCAGTCATGTCATCAGTTGGTCAGCCCTTGCACCGACCGTCATTGGCCTGCCACTAGCGAAACCCTGGCCCTTGATTGTCTCCACTTTGCGGCGACTCTGTGGCGCCTGATCTCTCGTACTGCATTACCCTTGCTGCATGTACCTCGTACGCTTCTGTTGCGTTTGCTATCTGCAGGACTGCCACGTTTATGGCGATGGACCTGGTACCTGTATTCCCACACCTTCAATCCCACTGACAAATGCCGAGCGGAGTGGGTTTCGAGGTTGCCACATGCGCCACAGTACCTGCATGCCAACAAGACGAGGAAGCTGGGTCGATAGAAGCTCTATCCGATCCGGGGCCGGACAGTTAGCATTGGGAGCATCCGCGACCAGCGCGAGGAGATGGAGGAATAAAGGCTCAAGATCATCTCATTTGTAATTTTATGTACAACCTCTATGAGTGCCAGAGCCAGAGCTTTACGCTACATAAAAAGACCACGTATCATAGGCATTGATATGACAGGTCGAGCGACCTTAAAAAAAACGAAACAATCAAAAGAAGGGATGTAAGTCGATCCTTGGACCAGTGTCAAATTCGCATATCGTCGTAAAATATAGACAGTGAAGAAATTAGAATTAGATTGATTCAACGGAAATGGTCGTTTTCGTATGGAGTACCAGCGCATATCCGTAGATGCTCAAACACGTGATCGAGAACTGGAAGGGCGGCTGGCTTCTTCATCGTGCTCTTCTGCAGGAGGCAATCGGTCCCTGACATGATGAGGTGAGACTGGACTTGAAAGTCCATTCAGCGAGTGTACATCATGGATCGCTGGGAACGTCGCACTGGTCGGTGTGATATTTCTGCTTGAGGCTCTCGATGGTCCACGGCTGTTGAATGTCCCTGCCCGTGGACGGAAAGCAGGAAGAGGTATATCTGAAATGGATCTGTCCATGTTTTGGCCCACCCTCAGATTGTCCATACTTCTTGCCACATGTACTTTTGGGATCGTCAGCCCCACGCGAGGCACGTCATGGTGGAGAGGCAGCGAGGCGGTGGACATCGTGGGAGAGGTAACGACCGCATCCTCAGGGACATACTGGTTCATGTCTACCAAACGGATCGACCGATCGTCGTCCTCGTCGTGCATACTCCAGCTAGGTCTATGTGGGCGTGCACCAAATGGAAGATTCGACCGGATAGACGACGAGCTGAATACCCGCCTC